AGAAAAACACCCCCCCCCCCCCCCCCCCCCCCCCAAAAAAAAAGTGGTGTCATAAACCAATTAGGTTCTGGGAAGACCACTTGATTTTTATCTTGTGCATCTTAAATTTCAAGGCAGATCAAAGATGGGTCATAATGAACAAGCTTCCAAGCATAAATAATATAAAGTAAATGAAAAAAAGAAGTTGGAAGACAAAATAGAGGCCAATCAGGACATTATATAAATAATCAAGCAAAATATCATTCAGTTTATAAATCATAATCCACTTTAAGGATCATATGTAGTGCCACACCACTGAAAAGGCCAAATCAGAAGTGAATTACAGATTTCGATGTCCAGGAAAAATACATAGGCACGGATTTTCTGGCATGATGTCAATAATACCAAGTTTATTTGAGCTTATAAGCAACATTACCAGTGGCAGATAATTCTGATCAGTATTATGCCAACCAACATTCTTGGCTACATATGAACTCAATCTTTTCTATTTGATCAACTGTATAGGTTACAACTCAGTCTGAACAGGGTAGTTAGTCTCCAGAGTTCTTCTGAACAACTGTCAATGTTACTCTCAGCAACTTAATACTATTTTGATCACTCATTATTCAGTCGACACCAATTAACAGGTTGATGAAAACAAACCAAAATGGCTTTTATCTAACTGGTAACGATATAAAGGTCGCTCAGCTAGTTGCTCCACAATGCACCTCCTCTTTAACTAACTTCACACTTCAAATAGTCAAGGAAGCTTTATTGAACTAAGAGAATTTACAAAAAAAATCTCAGTAGGTTCATGATCAATTATTTCAGAAAGTGTAATGATGCACGTCATGTTGTTCGATCAAACTTCTCTAAGCAAAAAGGAAATGCAAAAGATGTAATCCTCACCTGCTTGAGGGTAGACAACTCCAATTCTAGTTGCTGAATATGACCTGTTGCTTCTGGAGACAAATCCCCTAAATTGTGAATATTCAATTTCTCCAAATCTTCTACACCACCACCCCCACCACCACCGCCATCACCACCTTCACCAGCTTCGCATACTCTCTCCTGCTTCACCTCTGAAACCCCATAGTTTACAGGAAACTCCGACATTCTTGTAGTGTCAGGCGATATATCAAAATTCCTCATCAAAGAAATCCTGTACTCAGCGTTCCACAAAGTATACCTAGACAAATACAAACAATTCACCAAAGATACCAATAAATCACAAAAACAATTGAATTGTCCACAATTCAGCAATATTACTGTATGAACTCGGCCTACACGCTTACAAATGGTCCGGTCACCCTTAACAGCTTACGTTCTTATCCGAGATGGTAACTTATATAGTAATAATTACCCGGTGATGATGGAGGAAACAATCAGGCGATCGAGGGGGTGTTTGGAAATCCTAACGGTAACGGAAAATTGATCGGACGGTAAAAGTCCCAGCATAGTGGAGATAGTCTGCTTCATGGAGTCTTTAGCAGAGTCCGAAACCCCCTTAGAGATAATCGAATTGTCCAACGGCTCAATCCTCTTCAACATATTCGCAATGACAGAGAATTCGCGGCCGAAGTCTGATTTCCTGGTGAACACGAACTCGTCAGGGACCCCTCCGCCATCCACTCCTGAAATTAAGCAGCTAATAACAGCCGGAAATTGCCGTTTCCTAGCAGAGATTGACGGGAACAAGCGGCGGATGAGTGGTGACGGGAAGTTAGGTTTAAGTGATAAATCAGTGGCGCCGGAAATTGTGAAAAGCCTCGCCGTGGCCGTGGCTACGATTGCCATGTATAGATATAGAGAGAGAAATAAGTAGATACAGAGAGAAAGAGTGTGGGCGTCTCTGCTTTATGTATACCAACCTTTAATCTGCCTGCATCCCCGTGACTCACTGTGCCACTCTCACTCTCTGTCCTCAGCCTTTTTGATTCCTATCCTTCCATTTGGAGATATGTCATATGATATTTGAGCAAATCTTGAATCTCTCCGTTCCTGGGGTAGGGTGGGGTCGGGTCTCCGGCTGAGCTTAAGCTCTAAGGAGATGGATGGGGTTTTCGTGCATCGGAATCTATTCTTACCCTCTCATTTTCCAGCCGTTTCTTTTGTTTGGTGGTGAGTTTGTTGCTTAAAGGGGCTTGTTTTTTCGATTAATTACTGATTCGCCATTGCAGGAGTGACGTCATGACATTAATGAATTCGTGCTTGTGAGTAGGTGATGATTGTTATGAATATTAATATTTTAGAGCAATAATAAAGTTAAGGTCTACAAACGTTCTTGACAATATTTATTGACTGGATTTTGCTCCTCTACCAGATCCTCTCACAATAATGGGTCCTCCATTGGGATCCATTATTAAAAAAATGTCAAAAAAAAATCCACTTTCACCCCCAAATGTGAGTGGAGCTGCTCTACCAAATCATTTACAGATTTGGTAGAGCAACACGATCCTTATTGACTACTATGTGTCTTCAAAATTCAAGCTTCTGATATAATTTTTTTTATTAAAATAGATAAATATGATGACGTCAAATAGGATATTATCAATCAATATTGTCAACAAAAATTGTACATATAACACGACTTTTAAAATAATACTGTTCAACACAAGTGGTACAACAATACCAATTGAGGTGGCGTGATATGATAAGCTCAATGAAAGGTGCAATTAAGCGAGTCATTTAATTGCACCTCTTATTTAATGTCACATTGTGCACCATGGACTGATGTTTTAGAGTAATGCTATTTAGTTTTACTGAGATTACAATTGCAGTCTAAGTGGTGTTAATGTAACATTAAAATAAAGGTAAAATTAAATTAATTACCTTTTATGTAGCTTATCATTAAGTGCTACCTAAACTGCGGTTGTAATTTCAGTGGGTTGCATAGCATTATTCAATGTTTTAATACCAGTGGTGCTAAATAGCATTATTGAATATTTTGCCTTTCTTTGGGCTCCTTTTAATGAGGTTTTAAGGCAAAATATGTTTTGGTATAATAATTATTTGGAAAATGTGGTTTTAAAAAATGTTTTTAATTTACATATAATATTATTTTCTTGAAAAATATGTAGTTAAAAAGAAGAAAAAGAAAAATGCATTAAAACTTGCATGGAGCTCAAACATGGGCTTTATGTCAAATATTTAGAAAAATTGCAGAATTGGTCCCCAAATTTATTTTTAGAATAGCAAGCTAGTTTTCAACCTCTTTGTAGTGGGTCCCTCTATGTCTCATTTCAAAGGAAAGCTTAAAGTGGCTCTATTTCATTTTATTCTATCATTATCCCAATTCTATATATTTAATACCCTTTGTGTCATTGTCATTGAAATTGTTCATTTGAAAATTTCTTGAAAAACTAATCATAGATTCTTCTCTTTATCAGAACAACAAGGCCGTCCAATTTCGGCTTATCGGTAATACATGGACAACTCATAGGGAAATTGATCTCTATTGCCTCCTTTAAAGAGAGAAGTCCTAAACCACTAGACAAAATAAGAGACAAAGGAATCCATCATTATTCTTATCATAGGGTCGTGATTGAGTCTGCATATGTTTGATAAAAGAATAATCTTCTCCTTTGGAAAGTGTTTCGCAACCTTTTATCATAGTTGCATAATTGTTTTTTATGAAAAAAAAATAAAATTATCAAGATCTCTATTACATTCTCATTGTCCCTTGTGAAAACCTTTTTCAAGCACCGACCTAGGTTGGGAAATGCAAA